AGAGGACCAGAGTATGTCGGAAATGTTGAATGAACCTGGTACCACTCAGAGCTATGTAGCAAAATCACTTAGTATTTCAAAGAAAGTTGTTTACAATGTTATCCACCCAAACGATTATCGAATAATTTGTCAACTTCAGTGTATCTCAGGAAACATGCCGTCTGAAGACCAACGATAAGCTCAAGCAGTTCAAAATGCCATCTTGGCACGGTTTACCGCTGTAAGGGAATGCATGGTGAATTTTCCATGGTGAAGAGCATCGATTCCAAGTTGATAAAACGAGCATAAAAAATGTATCATCATGACTTTAAGGCTTTTAAAGGTTGGTTTCACTCTTGGTCAAACAGATGTGACATTCAATCCTACAAAGTAAAACAAGCAAAGATTGGCAGTACCACGTGATGCAGTGGACGAATTACGAGTGGGGTTACTGCATTTGATGCATAGAAATGTCGATTGTGATATTTTTCAACGCTCACGAAACATCATTGCGTTACAAGCAGCTCCCAGAAAGAACATAGGGTTTCAAAGGACTAACAGCTTTCGGAGACGAAAAATCCAAAGAAAGTCACTTTACTGCTTTATTTGGGTATAACAGTTATCATTATCATAACAGTTGCTGCGTTATTCCAAAGTTGACTGTCCGATATCAACCGCAAAATGATTGCCAAAGGACGCTCTATATAATTCACACAAGTCTGAATCTAGACTGTGTGCCAAACAAATCACAGTACAATAATCTTCATAAAAAAGAAAAACGTTCCATGATTTGCATGTGGGCCGAATACTGCCAGGTTGCCCAGGCCAAGACAGGTGAACTTTCTTGAGGAATCCACAACCGGAGCCTTCGGCTAGCCAGAACCTGACCCGCAAGGCATCGGGGTGGTGTACCAAAACCGCAATCCATTGGGAGCCGGTGTCCAGTTAATTATTACCCTAACACCATTCTATATGAATTCTCCATATTCCACTTGAATTTGCTTTCAGCATTCCCATCTTCATTCTACCCTTTTATCCGAATGAGGAACCAAGAGACAGCAACCAAAACCGGCGCACGAAAGTGCATAGTTAATGGCTGTAAAAACTTAAACTCCAGTTCATCGGATCATACGCCCTTTGGGCGAAGTCAAAAGTCCAAGGTGTCCAATACACCTCGATGCCCAATAGAGTCGGTGACCGCTGCCGCAACCGAGAAGGTGTGTGTGGTTAGTACGCCTCCTCTTGTTTGGTTTGGAATCAGGGTCAACCAACCTAGTTCTAGCCCCGGACGT